AAAAAAAAAAAAAATATATATATATATATATATATATATATATAGTATTATCTCATAATGGTAGTAACTACAAGACAGCCCTGCATTCTCCCCAGGCCTCAAATAAAATGGGATTATGCCAGAGATGTGGGCCAGGTAATTTTTGTATTGTTAGATGTATTTGTTTAATGCATGAGGCTGAGTTAGTGACAGGTGTACCTGGTCAGTAATGCTCATTTATCACTTCAGGTCTTGAACTGTTTCTCATATTAAATACTTTTAGGCAGGAGGTAAAAGCACAGGGAGCCAAAGTTTCATATTTGCACACATAGCACCATTCTTGGATAATATTTGTAAACTTACCTCTGGGTGTGAAGAGAGAAATGAAGCAGCAAGAGTGCTATAATAACAGTCCTTGAGGCCCCTTGGCTTGTTGAGTCATTCTATGAAAATTTCAGACACAGAGTCCTAAAACTTTAATGTGGAAATGTGTATTATGGCCTGTTTTCTGTTACAGCACCCTGCATTCTCTTTCCATTGTAAACACAATGTAAATAACCTAAAGGTCTCACCACTTACTGCTTCTCCTCCTGCTAAGAGTGCTCTTTACTTAATGGAGAGGACACTTATCTCCTCAGTGGGCAATCTTTTCTTATCCCTGGCCTGGAAGTTTGAGCTATGCTTAGGCAGAGCCTGAGTAAGTTTCTGTGGAAAGAGTCTTGGAGTTAGAAGGAAGATGATTATAGGTAGACGCATGATTTTAATTTTCTTACTATAAAATTGTTTGTAGGTGATATGGGCTGAACAACAGTATGAAAAAGAGAGAAGTAAACGTTCAGTTCAAAGGGACTCGGCATGGAATCTCTTCAACGATCCAATGTGGAATCAGCAGTGGTACTTGGTAAGTACTGAAGGGTCTGTGTAGCATCTAGGTTCTTCATGCTGTTACATCCTCGTCATGGTGGATCTGTATGTCTGTGTTTATATCTGTATTAAGATTTTTAGAGAACAGAACATATAGAATAAATCTATCTATATATAATCCACACCTATCTATCTCTATCATCTATATATACACACACACACGCATATCTGTATATGTATGTGTGTGTGTGTGTGTGTGTGTGTGTGTGTGTGTGTGTGTGTATGGGATTTATTAGAATGGCTTGTGAGCTGTGGTCCAGCTAGTCCAACAATGGCTGTATATTAATGGAAGGTTCAAGAACCCAGTAGTAAGTAGTTTAGTCCATGAGACTGGATGTCTCAGTTGGTCTTCTGTATATGCTGGAATTGTTAATGCCTGTGAAGAAATGGGCTGGCTAAGGAGAGCAAGCAGGCAAAGAGGGAGCCAGCTTCCTTCTTTCATGTGGAGCAGATTAAACGTGGATCTTCCAAACTCAAAAGATCTACACTAAAGGTGTATCTTTTTACTTCAAAGATATGGATTAAAAGGGTATTTTCCCACATCAAGATCTGCATTAGAAGTGGTTCTTTCTACTTCAAATGACATAATTAAGAAAAAAATCTGACAGGTGTGCCCAGACACTTGGGTTTTGCTTAATTCCAAATGTAGTCAAGTTGACAACCAGGAATAGCCATCACAGTATCTAAAACAGAATTTGGCAGAAGCCTATGCTACCTAAAAAGCAGGAATGACGAAAGTTCCCTGGCATGGAACTTTTGTTTTGATGAATGAGTGTCTATAATAAAACCATGTGTTAATAATGCTTCCTGTCAAAAAAAATAATAATAATGCTTCCTGTCTTTGTGTCTTCTTAAGTGTAGCTGGTATAAGTACAGAATAATCATGTACTGGCAGGAAAGAATTTCCAGAAACACCACTCATAATCACTATGGTGTAATTTACTCTAAATAATCCTCTAAATCACTCATAGATATTAGTCACCACAATATGCAGTCCAAACTGACAGTTCTTAGACATAATTCAGGCAAGAAATCTATGAATGAGTCAAAAAACAGAAGTGTTAAGGAAGTTTATTTACAAATATTTAGCTTTGAAAATTATTGTTCCTTTAAGATGTTTACCAAGCCTTAATTGGTGTATGGACAATGTTGCTGCTTCTCTTAAATGTGTTCTCTGATGTTGTAATGTCAAGCCTCTAAAGTAGGGACATAGGCTACTAATAGAATAATTTGCTACTGGGAATAGCATAAAAGTTAATTTTCATAGCCACAGACTAAGGTTTTTGCTCCTATATTAGACATAGAAAGCCATGAGTTCCTCACGCCGTTCTTTTAAATTAAGAAATACTTGCTGATTCCAGCAGAAGATGTGCCCATTAACGCCTGTTGTGTATTGACTATTTTAAGAAAATCTAAGTTCTATTCTAAGTGTTTTATATCTAACTCATATACTATATGAGTATATATATATATATATATATATATATATATATATATATATCTCATCTAACTATATACTAACTCATTTTCTCTCACAACCATCTCATATTATAAAGGCAAAACTACTAATTTTAACTGTTTCAGCGAGGAAGGAACAGAGACATTGCAAAGATGAATAATTTATTTAAATTTCATGGGCAGTAGTGGCAGTGCCATAATTCATGGTCCCAGAGGCCAAAGTCTAGCCTTGACTGTCCTGGACTTGCTTTGTAGACCAGACTGACCTCAAACTCACAGAGATCCACCTGTCTCTGCCTCCCTGAGTGCTGGGATTACAGGCATGCACCACCATGCCCCGCTCAGAGGCCACATTCTTAACAACTATACATTATAATGACCCTTGAAACATTCATGCAGGCCTTTGTCTCTAACTTTGCCTAATGAAAAGATTATGTATTTCCAATTCTTCTGATGCAGCCACACAATTGCCTAGTGAATTTTCCCCACTACAACATTTTCATATGGAACATCGACAAGGTGAGAGCCCATTCATAGGCAAATTATTGCTGTTACTTACACAGTGACTGCTGACTCCATCACCAAGTAACTGGTGCTCGTTTATGGCATGTCTCACATACTAAGAAATGTGTTTATATCTGTGTTACCCTGTTGCCCAGCTCTTCCGTACAGTCCTACATCAGGAAAATCACCTGAAAGGAAAAGAAAGTATTTTTATGCATATGTAAATTACATGTACATAGAAAAACACTGTTAAATTGCAATTTCTAGTAAGACTATAGTCTCCTAGCCATTCCAGGTGCTTATTTCTCTCTTAGGAAAATATTTCTACAATAACTACAAATAGTAAAAATTCATTGTGGCAACGAAGGCTCAGAATTTCGGAAAGATGAAAACACATACCACCAAGTAAAGCTTCAGTACAAGGAAAATTTGAGCTCCTTACTATAACTAGAAAAAAACAGAAAATATGTATAGTTAAGAGGCCAAATATAGCTGGGTGCAGTGGCACATGCCTGTAATCCCAGCACGCAGAGAAGCAGAGGCAGGTGAATCTCTGTGAGTTCAAGCCCAGCCTGGTTTACAAATGCTGCAAAGAGAGACTCTGTCTCGGGAAAAGAAAAAAAAAAAGAAGAAGAAGAAGAAAAAGGAAAAGGAAAAAAGAAAGAAGCCAAAGATAATTCAACTCTCATGGTTTTTCATTAGACTATAAGAATAACATAAATGGGTTATTTGGCTGGTACCCTCAACTTTGTGTTTTCATTTTACTCAATTGCCTTATTCTTGTTTCCCAAGAGAAAAAAAAAAATATGACCTTAAGTTCCAGTTAATCAAGAAAAATCATGATTTCCCCAATGTCTTTTATTTTTCTTCACTAGCAAGATACCAGGATGACTGCAGCTCTGCCAAAGCTGGATCTTCATGTGATACCTGTTTGGCAAAGGGGCATTACAGGCAAAGGAGTTGTTATTACTGTACTGGACGACGGCTTGGAGTGGAATCACACAGACATTTATGCCAATTATGTGAGTCTGAGCTGTCCTGTGTCTATCACTTAGGGAACCATCTCTGCAGACATGGAGGCCTTTTCCTTTGTTGAAGAGAGGTGGGCTGCCCTAGAGTCGGCCTCTGGACCTGCTATCAGCCGGTATAAACTGGTTTTGTTCTAGTATACATAAGGCAGAGTTCAGCAAACTCAAAGACTACACGTAACAAAGTATATTAGGAAATGGGATGAGGGGTGCTTAACATCAGTGAAACGGTTAAAAATTCTTCAAACCAGGAGCCACTATGCATTGACAGAAAAGCAATCAAATCGAGCTTGAAGCCTGAAACTATTTTATTGGTTATTTTCTCAAATTCCTTATGGGTCAGTATCCCTTCATCTTAAAATATGTGTTACATGAATGTAATTCCCACCATACAAGATCAATATGAGTACCACAGTAAAAATGACCAGCCAAATATGAAAGAGTTTACTAGAAGTGGGAAGACAAGTAATTGCCAATGAAGTTCCTGATAGAACATGAACTCCATAATGGATCTATTGCCTTTATTACCAGAAGCCCGAATGTTTCATCTATCAAATTATCCTTTCTCTTTCTCTTGTCATTTTTACCCATCCAAAATTCCCCAGAGAAAATTCAAATCTAAACAGCAAAGGAAGACGGACAGTATGGAAGAGATTTTAGAAAAATAGCCTAGAGTAGAAATAAAAAAAATAAAAAATAAGGGAATAGTAATAGTGGTGACAGAGTAAGTATCTAAGTCAGAGAGATGCTTAATGGCAGCAGTTAAGATTTGAAAAGAAGATGGGCAAGAAAAGCTTTCTTGAGTTTCAAGTAAATTTTCAGCAATTAAATTTCATGACTTGTAACTGTGCCTAAAATTGCTAAGGTAAAGCATCACAGAAGTCAACTCATCCAGAGCCATCTCTTTGCATCTTGGTTATGGAGGAGTGAATGTCACCATATCAATAACTAGTCCTGTGGCCTTAAAAGTCATTCAACTTCTCTGGGCTTCACTATATATTTCTGAAAAATGAGACAGCTGAATCCATGGAATGCTGACTTTTTAGAGCTTTATGAGTATCTGTGAAATATGAGTTTGGTACATCCACTGAGTGTTGGGTGCCTTGCTATTCATTATTGCTGGCTTGTGGATATAATAAATGTCAGACAGGCTAGAAGCTCTAAAATTCACTCTTTGGTGCTGGCTTTGAGGATGGAAAAGCTCTGAAGGTAAAAGCTTTTATTACACTATGTTGTTATTTTTTTTGTTTCTTTAGGATCCAGAGGCTAGCTATGATTTTAATGATAATGATCATGATCCATTTCCCCGATATGATCCCACAAATGAAAACAAGTGAGTAACTGTGAATTTTGGAGGATTGAAGTTATGTACAATGCTTTTACCTTGTTTTGGAGACTTATGTTATACATTTGGTCCAATATCAAGTCCTGATAATTGTAAATACACTCTCCATACGATATTGCATTGCTTTTAAAGCAGAAACAAAGACCCATTTTGATATTCGTTTTAGTTTATAGAAGTATATTTAGTTTTCATGTTTCATAAAGTTGTCTCTCATATGTTATGAAATTAGGCCCTCAAGTGTAATTATTCGTAGCTTTAGGGAAACTGTTAGGAATATAATGGATATAAATTTTATACTTCCCTTTACCCTTCATGTTTGATATGAATCATAAAAAAAAAACACAAAGGAATGTCCACAAATAAATCCCAACATCTAAAAACTTTCTATTGTGGAAACAATCATGCTTTCTAATCTAATTCTACCCAAAGGTTCATGGCCAGACAGCAGGCAAAAGGAGTTCAGCTGAGGTCTGGTTCTTACATTCAGCTCCATCTCTAAGATGTTGAGCAGTTAGGAACCTTCAAGGGGAGAAAAATGGGAGAGTGCCTAAATCTTAGGCTAACAGCGTCTCCTGCTTCAGTCTCACAGTACAAGGGAAGACAAGAACTAGTCAGTCCTTCCAAAGCTAGAGGCCAAAGACTGCCAGAAGCCAAAAACTTTCAATCATCTCTCCTAACCCTAGAGAAACTTCACTCTAGAGACATACAGTCTCAAAGTAGCCTGGTCTGTACGAGCACTTGCCCTTTTCATACTGATATTTCTTACAGGTTTTGAGGAGACATTCAAACTTTACATTTTCTTCACATAGAAGAGACTTTCACCAAAAGATAAGAAATTGAGGTCAAAATTGGGGGTTGTTGCTATAAGGACAGGAACCATTTTGAAAACTCCTGGTGTGTGAAACATCATTATTCATGAAATATGGAGTGGTTCTCTTTCCTCTGGGGTCCATATGCCTTGGGTAGTAAGTTCAATTTAAAGCTATTTTTATTTGACCTGCCTAAGGAACACATGCCATGTCTACCTTCTTCTGACCCTTCTGGTGTGCATCATTTATGTAATACCAACTCAAATGGTATCCCTCTCCACCTCAATCTTATCTCCACCTAGACTCTCTTCCAGCTCCATGCCACTCACTCTAACCAACTTTACTCATCCTCCTTAATTATATTTGGGTACCCGGTCCCTTCCCTAGGAAGATACCAGATTTGAGTACCAAACCACACATATCCCCACTCCCTGAAGACCAATCCTTTCAAAAAAGAGGCACAAAAAAGACCCACACTAGCAGCTCCACTTACCCTTGAGCTACCCACCATCTTGCACCTGCTTTCCACTCCCAGGTAGAGATCCCAGACATAGATTGCTAACATCATCATGTATTACTTAGGGAAGAGCCTGAGAACCTCCTTCTGCCTCTGAAGATTAACTTCAAAAATCCTATAAATCTGCAGAAGGCCTTTTTTTTCCTGCCTGATGAAGCAAGACTACCCCTGATACCCTACCTCCAGAAGGCCAGCACACACCAAGAAGAGAGACTGGGCCATATAGTCTTTGGCCTCATTTTTTAGATGTATTTCTTCCTTAAAGAAAAAGGACAGCGATGTCGCATTTATACACTACTCTTTAGTACCATATATCTGGGTTTGAGTAGCAGAGATAACCACAGAAATACCTTGGAAACCAGAACATTTCAGTAACTGTACAGTGGAAAAGCTACTGGAGTCTCCTTGGAGAAAAGTGGTACACATATTTCTCAGTTGAGGCAGTCAGAAACAACAGGAATACCAGTTCTTATGGAGAACTGCTGTGTGGGGTGAGCCTAACTGGCAGCTAGAGCTTTGCCAATTACTGGTTGGAGTGAAGATAGCCTTAGGGAAATTATCCTTTTCTCAATACCTCTACTTTTCTTCTACTTATCACCTAAAATGGGCGATAAGCTACCTGCTGTCTATATTTCTGGAAGTTCCTAAAAAAATGGCAGTAAGTACTTGAGAACAGGCATTACCTTACTAAAATTATATAAAGCAACTTTAATTGCACCCCTCATTAAGACTAAAAGTAATCTGCCTGGAGCCAAATGGTGAGTCTGGGTGTTTACTGAAATGATTTTGATGATAAGAACAATGGTAGTGGTGTTGACGATGACGGTGGTCAAGGTTTCTCACTTAGCAACTGAGATAGACTGCATTTCATCAAGAAATCAGCATGACAAGAATGGCATCGTTTGTTGGAGCAGAAGGAGAAACACATTTTGATTTTTTTTAGCCAGTTCAGAATCTGCATTTGAAATGAGAAAGGGAATATTTTTCAGAACACTCATGACTATCGGCAAGAAAGATAGTACCCTTTTCATTGATCAAAGTTACACTAAAATGAAATACTTACTTTCTAGCACATTTCCAGGCATAACATTCCTTAAGTTTAGAAAACAAGGGGCTCCATTCTGTTAGCCTATACAGCAACTGAAGACCTATTGGTTCCCAGTTCCATGATGATTACCTCCATAAGCCATCCCTAACACTGCTCTTCATAATTACTACTTAAGTAAACACAAAGAGGCACATATGAATGCCCCTCTGCCAATTAACAGAGGGATCATCAAACAATAATTTTTAAATTGTAGTAACTCTTATATTTAATCTGGCATGAATCTGTATTTAGTATTTCAACAACAATTGTGGATTATTTTTTAGTAAAATAATTAGTGTCATAAGGATGTTATGAGCAAAATAATTGTCATTACCTCTTGAATTTTTTAATCATTTTTAAAATGCCAATTACTACCACTGTTCTAAGTTAGTAGAAATTGTTTGTTTGTTTGTTTGTTTAATTACATTTAAGGTACATTGTATGAGCTGGAACACACACCTGACCCTGCTAACATGGCAAGAGCCTAAGACTAGATAGGTTATGGGCCCAGGAGGAAATCCAATGTTATTATTCGACTAAAGTAGCATGCCACTAAAATGATTGCTAATGACATATTGCCCAGTAGAAATCATAACTCAGCCCTCATCAGAGAAGCTTCTTGCGGTAGACAGAGCCAGCATCGCACCAGTGTTGCTGTCGTAGGTCAAAGGTTTGTCGCTTGGTGTTATTGATGGTTATTTTTCTCCTGCAGTAACACACAGAGCCTAACGGCACCATGATACTAGTCAGTAGAGGGGAGAATTTCCTAGTTAGGCACCAGTTTGATTTCTGGAAACAGTTTCTTCAGCAATTATAAAGCTTTGCTATCATGTTGTGGAAAAAAATAACACAAATGTCCGAGAAACACTCAAAAAATGTTCAACATTCTTAGTCATCAGGAAAATTGCTGTTAAAAGTACTTTGAGATTTCATCTTACCCCAATCAGAATGGTCTAAGATAAACTAAGGAAATGACAACACATGCTAACACAAATGTTGGGAATGGAGAACACTTCATTCATTGCTGGTGAGAGGGCAAGCTGGTACGGCCACCATGGAAATCAGTCTGGAGGTTCTTCCAAAAGCTGAAAATAGAATTCTCTCAAGATCAAATTATACCACTCCTGGGCATATACCCAAAGACCTCTACATCTTACCACTCATTACTTGTAGAGTTACTTGTCCATCCATGTTAATAGCTAGAAATTGGAAACAGCCTGGATGCTCACCAATTAGTGAATGTAAAATGACAGTGTGATACGTTTACATGATGGAATATTATTCACCTGTTAAGAAAAATGAAAATTTGAAATTTTCAGCTAGAAACAGTTATCCTAAGTGAAATAATCTAGACCCCAAGAGAAAAATACTACATGTTTTCTCTTAAGCGTGGATGTTGGCTCTTAAGCTTTCAACATGTGTACTTCAATCTAAATAACTACAGAAGTTAGCTGCCTAGTTAGGGACCAGGGGGAGGAACATATAACCAAGAAATGGGAAATATAATAGAGTGTTACAAAGAGATAAATGGGAAACAAGAATAAGATTAAATAAGGATGGCAAGGGAAGGGAGAGTAAAGTAGGGAATATGGGGAGAGACATCTAACCCTAAAGTCTTTTTGAAAAGTCATAGGGAAACCTTTAATGCAGAAGCTTCATTGAGTATATATTATATGAAAGAAATTTAAATGGAGTTACCACATAATAGGGAAGAGGATTATCCCAACTAGACATATTATGCCAGCAAGTAAAATTTCCAGTGACAACTACAGGTTGTATCCTATTGTGTCAGTGGCCAAAGGGTTCCAAAGTAAACTATTTTGAGATATCTTTCATATGTTCTGACTTGTACATATTCTCTAGAAAGTTTCAGGACAGCCTCACTTGCAGATGAGCCAGTCCTAACTCAAGAGAAAAGGTAAAATGGAGATTTAAAAATCACCAGCAGTTGATCTGGCTTCAGATGTGTTAGACCTTGGAAGCAGTGTACTGTGTCCCCACAACACCATCCATGGTTAGTCCGTCTGCCCGCTCAGCTTCAGTTTTCAGAGGTCCTGCATGGAAGTACAATGGACCCAACTTACCTGCTTCAGGCTCAGCGTTTACAAGGAGGGGCAGTATCTTCTTCCCCCAAATCAACATCAGTGCTTGAAAGTTGACTGAGGGGAAGTGTGGAACTTCAGAGAAAAATAGTAAGCAGAATGCTCTTGTTGGTTCAGTAACTTCAGGGATTTTGTATTCTGTGCTGGGAAGAATTACTCTACGGCCAGTGCAGTACTTTCTAAGAGTAGCTGGCTACTAGAAGTTAATCCTTTTCTTTTTCCTTAGGTCATCATATCTGCCCATGGCTCCTTTATTTTACCAGCAGCTTTTGTACTATAGCCAGGTGTTTCTGCATTGAAATAAGCTCACAAAATGGAGTCAGAATAGCATTCTCATAGTTATGGGCCTTCCTGGGTCAGTCTGGTAGAAAAAAAAAGACAATTATTTTCTCCAGAATGTCAGAACTGATGCTTCAGTGATAAAATTTGTGTGCTGTAGGGATGGATATATTCCACCAAATACTCTGAAATCACCATTACTCTCTTTGGCTGATTGGAAACCGGTTTTGTTCAGGCCTCGACCAGGTTATGAGACTGTCTCATTTTTCAGTTAGTCAGTAGTATCCCCAGAAAATCACAAACTCCTCTTAGAAGCAGAAAATCTTTGGGTATCCTAGTATGATGCATGGCCAGAGACACAGAGAAGGGCTAACAAGGGAGACTATTATATTTTAATATGGCTGATTGAGGACTACTTGATCAAAGTCTATTCCTAAAATACGAGGAACCATTTTACCAGGACCACTTATCCAAGGTGATTCCTAGAGCATAAAGTGGGGAACAATCCCACAGACAGTGCGTAAGGATCAGAGGCTGCATCCGTGACGCTAACCCTGGGTGTTGCTATGCTCGCAAGAACTCCAGCAGCCACATTGGCTGGGCTCTTAGTGTGTGTTCTAAGCACTTTGCACAAACTACTCATGTGCTCTTCACAATAGTCCTTTGGGGATAACTTATTGACCAAGACCGCACACCATTGCTTATTGGCAGAAGCCAGAATTTGAACTTACACGCTTTGCCCCCACTGTTATACCCTTCCTCTTGACAATTTTTATTTAACTTCAAGAGGGAGAACACAAAGAAGAAAGTTGGTAAAAAGTTAATACATCTAAATACCAAGAGTTCATGTGAAAACATAAATGTTTTACTTTTATTTCTGTTGTTTTATAAGTTTTACTTCTTTAATCTTTAGACATGGAACTAGATGCGCAGGAGAAATTGCCATGCAAGCAAATAATTACAAGTGTGGGGTTGGAGTTGCATACAATTCCAAAGTCGGAGGTAAGGCAGCTCTTTTCCTGTCGTTTGACACTTTAATTGGAGGCTGTGTTTCCTGCAATAAAACAGGGCTTGGGGGCTTTCTCCAACCCAAGAGAAAAATTAGTTCCTTACAAACTTTGCTGCAGGACTTGAGTGTGACTTGCAAGCAAATCAGAAGATCTGGATACCTTGAAGACGGATAGCTGAAGATAGCCTAGACATCCTTGAAAAAAAGAAAAAAAAAAAGTGGAAATGTTGAATGGTACTTGAATGAAATCTAATTTTCTCTAGGCTGTTTTAGGAGGGATAGCTTTTGAATTCTTGCTAAGAAATCAAAATGAATGGGTAAATTTAGGCAGAATTTCCCTGCTTCTCATTCTATACATATTCTTTGCTAATAAGCAAAGGATAATTTTTAAATGATTTTTAACTATATGTTCTTGTTATATGAAATAGCCAGTGCCAAAAAAAGGAGTCATTAGTAGCTTTGTTCAGTGTAATAAACTTTGAATTTAAACTGTTTTTAAAAGCATAACCACAAGGAAATCAATTGTAGAGTATGTCATTACAGAAAATTCACATTAGACGCTCCATGGTTACACTTTGAATTTGGCTATTGATTTCTTTTTAGAAACCAAATAAATATACATTGTAACATGGATATGTGTCCATTTCTCACCAACATAGGACACTCGTGTAGATTTTCAAGCATCACTTCTGATTTGTTTGTTTGTTTGATAATATCTTCAAAACGCTGTTCTAAAATTAAAGAAAATGAAGGCAGGTACAGATCATGTAATCAACTCACAAAAGAATTCACCTTTTATGTTGCTGATCCTTCATGTTTTGGAGAGGAATTGTAATCAGGATTTTAAGGTAATCAATAACAACCAGTGGCAGCATCAACCTAAAACAGCCACCTTCTTATCCTAAACCTACTGTGCTTTTTCATCACTCCAGCTTTTGGTGGTCCAGTCCCATTTTGAAAACAATTTAATGTATTAGGCATCTACTGTATATTAATCAAATATCATACAGTACCTTATAGATACAAATATCAGACAGTACCTGCAATAGGCAAGGTTGATTTGGGCATCATATTTTTGGAGCTTAAATCCAGACTTCCTGCTTTCAAACTGTGTGTGACCTTAGACAAGCCACTGTGTCTCTCAGGCCTCGGTCTGTCCACCTGTAAAATGCAAGAATTACAGCACCCATCTGAAATAGTAGTTGTAATGAGATGACTTTCTGTTTGTAATGTATGTGAAGTAGTGACTACGTATAATTCACATATGCCGTTATCATTACCTACACTTTATAGTTGATGAAAATCAGGTTAGGAGAGGTAAAATAGTTTCTTCATTATCAATACAGCTATGAAAAATCAGACCTGAAATGTTTTTCTTCCAAACACACCTCAAAGTATTCTGTTGTTATTGTTTTTGTTGTTTTTAGACAGGGTCTGTAGCCTAGGCTGTCTTTGAATTCACTGTGTAGCCAAGAATGATCTTGGATTCTGGATCTTCCTGCCTCCACCACCCAAGTGCTGGGATTGCAGATACTACTTCATATAGCAAAATAATTCTCTAAAAATTACTTGACTTTCACTGATCATGTGAATTACATATTCTTTCCCCTCTGTTTCATAGTAAAACGTAGTATGAAAATATAAAGCTGTGCAGTTCAGTGAGTTATAGCCCAAAGTCAGGAATAACCAGGTATCTGCCAGTCTTTTTAAAATTGCTTTTTCCTTTCGGGCTCTTGGATCCATGAGTCTAGTGATGGGTGGCAGGGTGTTGGAAAGCACAAAGAGCTCTCTTCTGATGAAAAACAATCTCCCTCAGGAGTGAAATCAGTCACTTTATCCTTGAGATTATTTAGAAGAAAAGAAATCATGTTCCTTAAAAATATTTCTCAGCAAACACATAAAAGAATAGCCTCTGGGTTACTTTTAATCCGAGCTTAGAAAGAATAGTTCCTTTCCTTTGTTAGTTTCCTGTTGTAGATGTGTCTTCTGTGGCTTCACAGTTTCTGATCAGGGCTCTTCTATGACAAACTGGGCTGCAGACATCATGGCATAGTCAGGAACATATGTGTCAGGGGAGGGCTGTTTGGTGCTATTTTTCCTTCTGAAAGCCCTCTGTCATCTGTCGCTTTGTTTGAATGCTAGAGGGAGAGGAATAGTGGTTGCTGCTTTTCCGCTTGTGTAAGGATGCCACTTCCTTCAGATCTCATTATTACTGGGAACAGCTTTGAACCATCAATGATAACAACAAATCACAACTGCTTTATAGTACATAATATTAACTGTAAAGGGAAGGCAAGAGGGTTTACAGACGTGGGAATTTGTGCCTTTGATGCTGTTAGGAACCACCTCACAGGTGCTGAAACATCCAGTAGCTACTTTAGGTTTTGGTTTGGTTTGGTTTCAGAAAGTGCTTTAAGAATGTGCTTATTAAGAGCATTTTATTTTTCTGTGTGGACTCACTGACATTCCTGTTACATTCTTGTTTTGTTGGATCTTTGTTTTGCTTAGGCATAAGAATGCTGGATGGCATTGTAACTGATGCTATTGAGGCCAGTTCAATTGGATTCAACCCTGGCCATGTGGACATTTACAGTGCAAGCTGGGGTCCTAATGATGATGGGAAAACGGTGGAGGGGCCTGGCAGGCTAGCCCAGAAAGCATTTGAATATGGTGTCAAACAGGTGAGATGCTTAACACAGACTCACATGAAACAATGCGGAGAAGAGAACACTTGTTATTGAGAAAGATATGATAAACTTTGTGGAAAAGCCTTTCACAACTTTAAATGCACTTAAAAACTAAATCATTCTTCAGAGAGGTGGATGTTCAAAATTAAGTAGTTTTCCATATGTGGGTCCAACATGGCACAGATATTCGTTACTTTTAGAATATTTACATTTTAAACTATTTCTTGTGGCTAGGGAGATAGCTCAGTTAAAAATGTGCTGGTTGTCCAACATGAAAACTGAGTTTGAGTCTCAGCATCTTGGTACAAAGGGAGGAATGATGGGGTGCTTGCACTTCCGGTGCTGACTCAGCAGAGACAGGCAAAGCGCTCTGAAGCTAACTGGCCGGCCAACCTCTGATGAGACACCTTGACTAAAATTAACAAGATGGATTAAAAAAAAAAAAAAACTAGGTCAAAGTGCCTCAGTAAAGGATGACTTCTGGACTCCACACATGTGCATGTACACCTGCCCACAAACGTATCTGAGAGCACACACACACACACACACACACACACTGCTTTTGAACATATTTCTCACTCAGTTTTTAGTAGGTAATCTACAATCTAGTCTTCCTCCAATTGCTGTGAAAATGCATCCTTCAATTCAGCAACACCCTGCCCTCCACATCACACATGGACCTGGGATCCTTACACCCCTCATACCTTGCTCTCTCTCTTGAGCTGGCTGTATTGTTGGACAAATTCTAAGTCCTTGAACTATGCAGAATGAAACAAAAGTAGAAGCTTTGGAGAGCACCAATTGAAATATCACAGAAAGAGTGGCCTTGACGAGTTCCATTCAATCCAAGAGTCTTTTTTTTTTAATGCAGCTGCAAGGCAGATCTGAATAATGCCTGATTTTCTCATTCTATCAGTCAGTCAGATGATTCAAGCAGAAATAGAGTAAGTTCAAAAATTCAAGTATAGTGACATAGTAAAGAGAAGAGTGAAAAAATATACTTCATGTACTAAAGGCCAGATTATGAATCTGCTAATAAAGACAAAAGGAAGAACCTTGCTCGACCACACTGCAGAGAGAGCTCTGAAGACAGGAGGCTGGCAGGAACACTCTCCCCCTTTTATGTAGTATACAATCTGACATTGATCCTTGAGACCCTGAATTCAAAGGCAGATTTCAAAGATTTGTCCCTGAACCGCAATGGATGATGATAGATTGTTTTAATTTGGGTTTTTTTTTTCTTGCAGGGGAGACAAGGGAAGGGGTCCATCTTTGTCTGGGCTTCCGGAAATGGGGGTCGTCAGGGAGATAACTGTGACTGTGATGGTTACACAGACAGCATTTACACCATCTCCATCAGCAGCGCCTCACAGCAAGGCCTGTCACCCTGGTACGCAGAGAAGTGTTCCTCCACACTGGCCACCTCCTACAGCAGCGGTGATTACACAGACCAGCGAATAGTAGGTTGCTTTGTTTCTGTCTTCTTGCTGAGGGAGAGGAGCAAGGCACACTTTCAGAATGATCCTCTTCCCTGACCTTTGGTGGAATTGATTTGCTTCAGCTTGATGTCTCAGTTGGGGAGACTCATGCTTACTCACCTGAAAGACTGGCATATATTGGAAAGTTTCTCTCCAGGGATAATGACACTTCTGCCAAGATGATCTGCCCTGACATTTTTTAACTCAGGTCTGAGAAGCTACAAAACCCATCATTACATACAGCAGACACTCCAAATGCTTTTTCTGCTTGTCTGATGCCTCACTGGAAGCAGCCTAGAAGGAGATTTCAGGGTCACAGGGCTTCATCGCCCTGTGCTTGCTGATCCTCTAATAACAGGGATGTAGTCTGACTTGACCATTAGCAAATGATAAAAGTATAGACTGTACAGCAATAATACCTCCCAACAACAAATGGTCTACATGAAAAATAACAGTCTCAATTTGGCCTGGGGTGAACTCCTCATCCTCTGGGGAAGCAGCTCAAGGAGTTATATGCTTCAATCTCCTCCAGCCCACGCCTGCCTTTGCCTTCACTTCTATGAGTCATGAACAATTATTGGATTTCCCTTCAAGGGCATAATGATGAAGAACTGTTTGGAAGCTTTGAGAACAGAGATGGGCAATTTTAATTTAAAATTTTAAAGCCTCCAGTTTAACTCTAGACATTGAATCAACTAAGAAAAGCATGTAAATCCTAATCTCAAAATAGCAGGTTGTGACCCATTTAATAATTACCAGGTTGGGAGGGTGCCAGGAGCCCCAAGAGATTATGGTAGCATGTTATACATTCTGCCTTTTAAGAGAGAGATGTGAAAGGCTGCGCCTTTGTCCAATCTTCTGGGAATGGAGGTTCTGGAATGTATGCACAATTTCATCAACATTAAAAAAAAAAACATCAGCAGAAATAATGTCTGGTTTACACAGGATCAGTGTTTACAGCTCTCTTTCTTTTACCACTTTAAGCAGCAGAGCTGCGTAGTCTCCACTGAAAGGTGCTGGCCTTTCTCTCATGCCATATGTTCAGCTAGTTGAATAACAGACTGTGACATTCTATTCAAGGGTTCTTTATGGTAGGCATACTTTAAAGCTTTAGAAGGAAACATATCAGACATGGGTGTCAGAGCCCCTGGCTGTTACTATTCCTGTGGCATCCAGAGCTATCTTCAGGAAAGGGCCTGTTAAGCATTTTAGACTTGCTACTGCATAGACTTCCCCTCATCTGGAACCCCTTGCACTAAATCAGGGAGGAGATTTTTCACCTTCGTAGAGATTCACTGTAAGGTAAACCAGTCTTGGGAGAGACAGCTGGTAGATTCTATTTGAGACAGTTCCAACGACATGCTTTTTCTTACGTAACCCTTTTCCTCAGCACAGTCATCTCTGGGGGCTTATTTGCGTCAACAGGTATAAAGGGCATCTTGACTTTCACAGCTCTCTGAGAAACAGAGTCACTATAACTTGAGAAATCCAAATGCTAAGTGGGAAGCCAAAGGAGGTGATAATAGAACAAATTATTTTCTTACACCTCCCTCCCACACATTGAAACCTCTAGCTAAAACTAAGCACTGAAGCCTTGGTAGATGTCTGGTTTGTGATTATTTGGCCCCACTGCTTGTTCAGTCAACAGACTAACTGGAAGTCTTTGTTGTAGTTCTGCTTTATCTCAGTAACGTCTTTATTATCCTGAAGTTAGCCTGCACAGTTCCATGCATACAATAATACTGTTCACAAATACTTCCAGGCTCTCACTTATGTCTTAGAGTGAGTCAGGAAATATGAATCCCATTCTGCTAATGTGAAACCACATAAGGGACCATGGTTTACCTCTAGTACACAATAGTTTCATAACTAGGCCTGGGTCATTTCTTCAGCCTGACCACTCCCTCTCTTCTAAGGGCAGAAGATACAAATTCCCAGCTTCAACAGTTAATGGAAAAATCTCTTCTAAGTTTTGATCAAAGGGCTCTGATCAAGATATCATTATATTTCTGTGTTACAGAGGCAGACAGACGTCCATTTGAAGGCCAAAGGGAATGCTGTTTGAGTTAGAACTTCTAAATATGCCCAGCCATGCACAATGGACCTGATGATTAATGGGCTGGCATGATTCACAGTGACTTAGAAACAGTTCCTTTTTTTATACACACATTATGTTTGGAAATCTCAGAAGAGAAAATATTCATAGTGGGAGGACTCCATCCCCAGAAAAGGCAGCTTGATGCCAGAATTATAGGCAAGTTGCACACAGAGGAGGGTGAACTAAAATATCAGCAGATGGCAAGCATCCGCTTCTTGCTGCTTGAATGGAGGAAGTAGGGAATCGAATCTTGAGCTTCCTGGTCATCGCGGAGGCAGACTTTGGTGTGGTTACTGCTGCGCTGCCCTGATGTCTCTGCCTTTCTCCCCTTCCTTCCAGACGAGCGCTGACCTGCACAATGACTGCACAGAGACCCACACAGGCACCTCAGCTTCTGCACCCCTGGCTGCTGGCATTTTCGCTCTGGCCTTGGAAGCAAAGTAAGGCCCCAAAATCTGGTCAGCTTGACTGAGGCTCCTTCTAGCGCTGCTTTCTGCACATGGGATTATAGGAGAAATAGACGACCACAACATAATAATAATAACAACAACAACCAGATAAATCCTGGCACTTTGAAATTGCCTTTGTTGATATCCCAGTGTAGATTTTAAAAACATACATCTTATTGCACAATATTTTTTAACATATTAAAAATATTGGCTCACATCTCAGTGAACGTTCTTTGCCTTTCCAAATTCATATTCTCCGTTAGTCTCCTCCTCCTGAGCATCAAGCCTGTTCTATCAGCCAGAATTCTGTCCAGATGGTTTCCTGGGAGTGATGCTGAGAACAAATGTGCTTTCTTCAGATAATAAAAACTTTATCCTGGACCTAAAGTAATTACATAAGACTTGATCATTCAAAATGAGTTTTTAAAAGTCTTTTTCACACTACTCTAGACTATAAGTAGAATTTTTGGTAAAGTTGTCCAATTATGTGGTCTGTAAGTATTGGCATCTTATATGTTTCTCAGGATGCGCACCCAGAATTAGGAATTCTGAGATAAAGAGAAGTGTGTTATAATGATTTTGATGCATATTGACAAGTTGTTTCCTTGAACATTATGCTATATTCTTACCAGGTGTATATGTGTGAAAATGCAAATTTCTAAAACACTTTTTACCCCTGTTTACTTTTAAAGTGTTTGCTATGTGAAGGAAATGGCATCTTGTTTTTTTTTTTTTTTAATTTTTACTTACTTAATTTATTTATTACAATTTATTCACTTTGTATCTCTTCTGCAGTGTCCTCCTTTGTCTCCTCCCAGTCCCACGGACTCTCTCTCTTCTCCCCCATGCCCTTTCCCTAGTCCACTGATAGGGGAGGTCCTCCTCCCCTACTATCTGACCCTAGTCTATCAGGTCTCATCTAGGCTGGCTGCATCATCTTCCTCTGTGGCCTGGTAAGCCTTCACCCTCCAGGGGAGGTGATCAAAGAGCCAGCCACTGAGTTCATGTCAGAGACAGCCCTTGTACCCCTAACAAGAGAACCCACTTGGAGACTGAACAGCCTATGGACTTCCTCTGAACAGAGGGTCTAGGTCCTCTCCATGCATGGTCATTAGTTGGAGTATCAGTCTCTGCAGGCCTCACTGGGCCTGGTATTTTGGTTCAGTTGTTCTCCTTGTGGAGTTCCTGTCCCCTCCAGGTATTTCTGTCTCCCTCTTTTTCCATAATGTTTCTGGCACTCTGCCCAAAGTTTGGCTATGAGTCTCAGTATCTCCTTCGATACCCTGGTAGGTAGAGTTTTCAGGGGTCTCTGTGGAAAGGATCCTGTCCTGTTCCTTGTCTTCTCTTACTTCCCATGTCTATCCTGTTTGCCCTTCTGAATGAGGATTAAGTATCTTCTCTAGGGTCCTGCTTGTTGTTTAGCTTCTTTAAGACTATAGATTTCAATATGTTTACCTTATATTATGGGGCTAACATCCACTTATAGGTGAGTATACACCATACGTCTTTCTGCTTCTGGGTTACCTCACTCAGGGATCTTGTTTAATACTCCCATCATTACTGATGAAGTTCAGAATTTTATTTTTTTTGGCCAGTTGCCCTCTGCTGTAGCCTCTTTATGGCCCTGCTTCCAAAGATCCATTAATACTTTATCAGTCTGACATTTACCTTCAGTTTTACCCACAGGTAACTTTAGTGTAATAAAGCTAATAAGTATACAGCTATGTTTGCCAGCCTGTTTCTCTAGAGCTTCTTTCTTTAAAAATTCTCGCAAACCAAAATTAGATTAAAATATTTGCATTTTTGAAAGATTAATATGGATAATAAAAACTACATGAACAGCCTGTTTGCTCCCAAAAATATTTGTGTTTTTATTGCAGGTCTTTTACTGTGCTTATGTTATCAATCTCCCTAGCCTTTATTTTAGTATGTCATGTTAAAAAGTGGATTCAGCAACATTTTTACTACATAATAGTTGTTCAACATTCTGACACATAACACAGAAGGAAAAAAAAAATCCACACCTTCTCTCATAGCTTTTGTTTCTTTATTCCTGCCTTTTGACGTTTGGTGACAAGAGGCTAACCTAGCCGGAAAAGGGCAGAAGAGCCTCCCATGTACTTGGTAGACTACAACTTTCTGGAACAGAATATAACATGTTGTCCTTTGTACCACCAGAAATGTCCTAAGCAGCTGAGTCTCTTTCCAAAGGGATACAGTGAAGCTCTAGGATTCCCAGGGCTTCCTAAGGGGGGGGGTAGAATTTTTGGGTACCAATAATGATACCCAGCATGACCTCTCTCCAGGCTCTCACCTAGTGTCTACCTATTGAGCAAAACTGGAGAGATGTTTGAGCAAAGTATATTATTTTCTCTACTTAATATCTGTCAGATGCATATAAATATCAGACGCCAGGCCAACACCATTTAATCTAGTAAACAATACAGCAGAGGTATTCACTAAGCCAAATACTTACAATGTTAATGTAATCTAATAACTGAAATTCTAATTTTTATTTGTATGTATGCATGTGTACCTGCTTGTATGTACACTACATGCCTGCAGTTCCTCTGACAGTCAGATGAGGGCATCAGATCCCTTGGAACCACAGTTAGAGGCAATTTTGAGCTGCCTGATCTGGGTGCTGGGAATCAAACTCAGGTCCTTTCCAAGAACAGCAAGTGCTCCAAACCCAGGGGTTATCTGTCCAGCACTAGAACTGAGATTTTAAAGTTTCTAAACTTTCATAACTTCAGAGGAGCAACATTATCCTTTGATAATTAAAGATCTAAGTAATCTTTTTGTCTTAGTGGGCTTTAGCTGAAGGAGAAGCACTATTGTTGTAAAATACATGCCTGCTTTCCAAGTAGTCTGTGAATTTCTTTGCTCCTAAATGCAGAATTACTTAAGCGAGTATATATGAAATTGTTCTGGGGATTGGCTGTGGTTTATGATTTAAAACATTAATAATTTGTGACCTTCCAGGTGCAGAGTAAAAAATTTAATTTCCCTTATTTTTATCCTAGTTACCAATACAATGGACTTGATCTGTCTAAACATTTATATCCATCGTGGCAAAGTACATAGCAATTACTGAAATATCTGTGCTCAATTGGATGGCATTCTACATCCTATTCAATGGTCTACACCAAGACTATATATGAGAAAGTCTGTGTGCTAGAATTTCTAGACAGGAATCCAAGCCAGTCTCTAGTCACTCAAGACTGAGTCACTCAAACACTCATTATTACCTAAGGAACAGCTAGGGAGACTGAAGGAGTTTTGATTAAACTTGTCAAGAATGACATTCCTTGCTTATTGTGGTCTTACTGTGGTCCAAACACTGTATTAAATTTTTACATACAATGTTAGCTATAATCCATATGACAGGTTTATAATATTGAAACTAGTAGTAGTATTGCATTTTATAAGTGAAGAAATTGAGGATTAGAGGGGTTGAGAATTGTGACCAGTATTGCACTCAGGAACAGAGACAGGCAGATCTCTGTGAGTTCAAGGTCAGCCTTGTCTACAAAGTGAGTCCAGGACAACCAAGGCTACACAGAGGAAACCCTGTCTTGAAAAAAACAAAATAAATACATAAAGAGAGAGAGGGAGGGAGGGAGGAAGGAAAGGAGAAGAAGAAAAAGAAAGAAAGAGAGAGAGAAAGAAAGAAAGAAAGAAAGAAAGAAAGAAAGAAAGAAAGAAAGAAAAGAGAGAGAGGGAGGGAGGGAGGGAGGGAGGGAGGAAGGAAGGAAGGAAGGAAGGAAGGAAGGAAGGAAGGAAGGAAGGAAGGAGTGACTGTATCTCACAATAAAGATATAAATTCAGGCCTATCCATCTATCCTGGAATGTGCTACTCTATGCTGCCTCCCACAGCTCTGACAGGGAGGCCGGAAGAAAGGAGCTGGTGTAAAGAACAGGTAGTTCCCCACAAAAAGCTGCAGTCGCAGACTCGCAGACTCCGTACTGTGCTTCTAAAAGAAGGAGCTGGGATCAGGAAAGAACAAAGGGAGGGAGAATGAGCAGTTTCTGGCTGAAATGTCTACAAGGTAACACTTGTCTTCTCTAGGCAGTAACTCTTGAATATCTAACCCCCAAAGGGAGTTTATTTTCCATGAACAGTTCCAGATCACATTGATAAGGATTGGAATTCTGAACTATCTTCCCTAGAAAGTTTGTTTTAGCAGGACAGCCAAGCTATTTCAATGCTAAGAAGACTTTTACCAAATGTTGGAAATCAATCGCTCTTGAGAACTGTTTCCTACAGCTTCATCCAGCTGTAATTGCGAGGATGTCCAATTGCAAATTCTGGAAAAGAAATTCTCTGTATAATGCCTGTGGCACCATGATTAGTACTTATTAAGTATATCTAAAAAAGCTTGCAGGTAATCATCTAGTCTTCAGGGGCAAGATGAGAATAATTGGAGTAATTTTTAATAAGGAGAAAAATTCTCTTAAGTGAATCATTGGACCCAGTCACACCTTTGGAAATATTCAACAACCAGATGAACCTTAGACTTTTTAAATAAACAATAATAAAGTCGAGACAAACAGAAATAAGCCATCAATGTTGTACAAAGCCCTCAAAGGAACAAACTCCTACAAAATTCTTACAATTTATTTTTTGGAAAGTTTAAGTTAGAACTCTTCAACATCAGAACTCAAATAGTTGTAGACCCCCAAAATTTTCACTGTATAATTTTTTTATCCAGACTTTTTAAAAATCTGTATCTCTTCTAATTAAAGAATGCTTAATTTCAATGTTTACTTATTTTCAGTAACATATTACTGGTTAGTTACACAATGCAGCCTTAATAGTTCTAATTATTGCAGATACTGCTGTGCACTAATTAACAAGGAAAGGCTGTCCAGAATTAGTTCTATTGTTAGCAGCTCCTTTTCATTTATAAAATGTAAGAACTCAACTGAGGAATAATTGTTAAGAAATAAGACTTAATTTTCCTAATTATGTGAAAATGAAGTTCCTTAAATATTTCTAGAAGATTATATATAAATTTGAAAACACAGAAAGTACTGCAATTGTATGTAAAATAAATTATTTGTCATAGAAATGTAAACTTTGAATGTGACCACCACACAGTCGTTCCTTATTTTGCCCCTTCCTCTCCATCTTTAGGCCACTCACAGATACCTGTAAACACCGTTCATCCAAACTGGAAACCTGTCCATTGCCCATTGGTCACCTTGGATTTTACTTTAATATGTCTTATTTTTTTTAATATGTCTTATTTTTAAGAACAGAATGAAGCAAGTATTTTAATAATACTCTTCAGGGACAGAAGTAGTTTGTACCTTGAGAGTACAGCTGTTTCTCCTCCACTGGCTAATGGTTCCTGAATACATGATGGTCACAAAAACAAAAACAAACAAACAAACACACAAACAACAATGTGTACAAAAAGATAATTTTAATGTTAAACAGAAGATCTGAGTAGTAAGGCTTTCTGGAGATTGTCACATCTATCCTTCTCATACGACAGATGAGACGACTCAGGCCCAGAGAAAGAAAGTAGTCAGACTGAGTCAAACCATTCATTGGAGCATAATACAGTTTAATGTTTTTTTATTACTCCCTATTTTAATGCTACAATTCAAAGTGTCTTGTTTAAAGGGCCATGATTCAAAGTGCTTAACTGTTCATATGCATACAATCATCCTACCAATTCCCGTTATTTTTTGGTGAAATACAAAACTGGATAGGTAGAGTTAGATGTGTTTCAGAAATCCTCAGTATTTATCTGTGTAGAGGGTGACTATGATGCAGGCAGTCTGGGATCCACTGGGAATCACTAGACTGGACTCCTTTTCCAGCCTCCATCAGTCACTCTGGTACTTAACAGTGTATCTAGTCAAATACTTCGTTTGACTAGAGGGGAAACAATCCAAGTCACAAAAGCAATAAAAAACTTAAGGTCTTGAAATAGTCTAAAGATTAATAACAGTAAGATTCAAAATTATATCAGAATATTTAACATAGGCACTTTAAATCATTCATTAACATTACTTACCTATACTCTTTCTATTATTTCTTTTACTTTTAAGATTATAATATTATATGATTTTCTCCTTCCCCTTTCTCCCTTCAAACCTTTTCATGTACCCTTCTTGCTCTTTCAAGTTCAATACTTCCTTTTACTAATTTTGTTGTTACATATATATACGTATGTACACATATATTTCTAAATATAACCTACTCTGTTACAGCCTGTTCAGTCTGTATTATGTTACTTATACAGGTGTTTTCAAGGCGGAAAACTTAGTAACCAGTTGATGTACAATTTCCTGGGGAACAGTAGTTTCCCCACTCTCCATATTCTTTAGTTGATGTAGAAATTTGTGTAAGATCGAGGCCTCGTGGATTTTCTTGGCCCACTTTGATATGTCTATTATTACCCTTGTTCAGCTTAGGCTGAGGTGGTCATGTCGGTGAGCTGTATGGGTGTAGCTTAGATAATGTGTACATTATTTCACTTAGGTGGTGTTTGTGCATGTGCACATATACATGCCACAGACGACACAAATGTGGAGGTGAGAGGACATTTTGTAGGGGTCAGTTTTCTCCTCCCACCAAGCAAATGGAAGGGATAGCCGTCCGATCATCAAGCTTGATGTCAAGTGCCCCTACTTGCTGGCCACTTGTGTATACTCTTGTACAATCTTGTGCCTGGCACTCTTCTGTTTGTTAAGCATCAAGGAATGAGACAGTAAGTTTTCACTCTTTGTAGCTAAATTCTAGCTTCAGAAGTAGACAATCACACACACACACACACACACACACACACACACACAGTATTTGTCAGAATGTTGTAATGTGAAGAAAAGAGAAACATCAAAACAGAGTATGAGCTCCAGGAGCATGTTGGGAGAAACTGGCTCAGATTTCACTACTTTCTTGATCAAAAGTTTGGAACAATTCCCCAGGCCCAAACGGTAAAGGCCAAGCTCACTTTGTGACATTCAGCACCCGTGTTTTCTGGCTCAGTTTTCTTTGTTGCCTCTTCCCTGCTCTGGCTTACAGATTGTAATCAAGTGAGAGCTATTCTTCCACACAAAGCTGCTGCTGCTCTGGTTGCCATAGTCTCTTTTAGAATTTCCTCTAACCCATCAAAATTCATGTCATACACATCTTCCCAGCAAAGACATTCTCCAGGCTTTCACAGTACATTAAGTTACAAATGCAACATTCAGCATACATAGTTAATAAAAGATTTTTTAAACTACACTGTAAGTTTCTTAAGAACCAGAACCACCTCCATGAATATTCTAATAATATTTAGCATAGAACCATTCAAAAACAAACTCATGAAGCCAAGAATTTCTTCACAACTTATGGTCTATTGTCAGCCCTCAGTATCTTCCAAGGACCAGGTCCAGGACAGGGTTCTGTAGATGCTCAAGTCTCTTATATGAAATAGTGTACTAACAGTAAACAACCTATTGCACCTTCTCATGTTTAACGTAATTTCCAAATTATATATAAAACCTACTACAATGTAAATTCCATGTTACAGTGCACTATTTAAGGAATGGTAACAAGAAAAAGTCTGTACACATCAGTACAAATGCAAAATTTTTCTTTTAAAATATATTTGACGTATGTTTTGTTCAGTCCTAAGTATGTGGAACCTGTTATAGAGCTCTGACTACATTTTTAAAAAGGCGAGATGTGCTAAGTAGGTCACATGCCCCTCAAATCTAAGTTACAAATCTAAGTTCCTGTTACAAAAACGAGGCTTCAGTGAAAGTTTGTAACGCCGAAGATGCTAAGGCATTCCATAAACAGAACTAAAGACACAAAGTAAGTGTTATTATGTTTTAAAAATGACTTTAGGTAAATACAAATCATTAGAATCAAGAAGAAAATGTCATACTTTAACAGTGCTGAGGTCAAAATTAACTGATAATAAGAGTTTAACTTACACACTATAGGTGACATTTTTAATACTGTATTGTAAGTCCTAAATTTTAAAAAAAGTAACATTAAGCAACCAAACATATATTTACAAAATTCTGAAATGGAGATGCTTATGTTTAGCACTTGATTTTACAAGAATACTTCATTTTGTCCCTAAAAGAAACTTTGGGTCACTTTCCCTCTAGCCCAAATCTCACCTGGCGAGATATGCAGCATCTTGTTGTCTGGACCTCTGAGTACGACCCCTTGGCCAACAACCCAGGTTGGAAAAAGAATGGTGCAGGCTTGATGGTGAACAGTCGATTTGGATTTGGCTTGCTAAATGCCAAAGCTCTAGTGGATTTGGCTGATCCTAGGACCTGGAGCAGTGTGCCTGAGAAGAAAGAATGTGTGGTAAAAGACAATAACTTTGAGCCTAGGTAAGTCTTTCCCAGAATTTTAAACCATTTTATGCCCTAAGTACAGTTTGATTAAGGTGTTCCACTTAAGTTTTTCTCATACACTTGCTCTTAGATGAGGATGGAGCCTAATAGTAGTCTCTTTGGCTGTCTCTATGGAGAGTCAGGGAAATACCAAAGATCTGCCAGACATGTTAACGTATTTTGCATTTTCCTTTTGCAGACTATCTACAATGTAGCATTAAGCCTAAGATACACCATTGTTTTATAAACCATTAATGCAAAGCATTGTCAAACCATGACCAATCCACAAAAGATTCTGGGATCAAAAATATTAAGTTTGTTTTTAAAATGCATTTAGCATTGATGGAATTCAGTACTTTCCAACTAGTATTATCAAACTAAAGTTTACCTCCACAGTAGTCTTACTTCAACCTGTAGTGCTATGTCACAGATGAATTTTCTTTTAGGCAGGGCCCTTTATAGGGCACCTCCAGCTCATCATACATGGTCATGGAAGCAGAATCTGCTACGACTATTATGTTTTTATTGTAAATGTGGCCATAGTGATGGTAAAAACCAACTCACACAAAATCCCAGAGCCTGGAAAGCCAGGAAGCATGCCTCAAAAAGGCCTTATACACAAAATTAATTTTTTTCATGAGGATCTTACTGATATCTTTGTCTCTGACCGCTTTTTTGGATTGAAGAAAAACCTGTCTGAGTTTGGGTTCTATAGTATCATACTTATATATTTGTATTTCTTACCACTTTGTTATGCATTAAATTCATCTATAGATAATTGTAAATTGAATTCTACTCATAATAAGCCTTGCTGGCTATATGGTCAAGACATCCATGCACCTGTGCACCCGTCACAAACAAACAAATAAACATCAGAAGAGACGCCCTCTTTAATTCTGCTTCCCTAATGTATGCAGAGCCCTGAAAGCTAATGGAGAAGTGATTGTTGAAATCCCAACTAGAGCTTGTGAAGGACAAGAAAATGTTATCAAGTCTCTTGAACATGTGCAATTTGAAGCAACAATCGAATATTCTCGTAGAGGAGACCTTCATGTCACACTCACTTCAGCTGCTGGTAAGTTTCAACAACCAATCAATGATCACAGAACTAAGTCTCCTCAGAGGCATTTACGAGTCCTCAAAACATGATCATTTGATTGATCATGCTCTTCTTCTCTGTCTTCTTCCTGCTAGTCCCATTGGTCCCTAGATAGACAAAGGCTGTGACCTCCTCAAATGGTGCTAATTAATTAGCTTTTATGAAATAATCTATTTTCAAGCTACGTTTATTTCCCCAGTTAACAACTGACCACCCACTTCTTTAGGTGACAGTGAAAAGTTTTTGAATAATTATCAAAACTTATAGATACGCCTGGAACATTGAAGAAATCAATTCAAAGTTTAGAAATTGTGATCCATAAAGTTGAGAATGGTGATTAAATCTTCACAGCCATATGAATAAGGGTGTATGATGGTATAGACTTTGCCTTTTCCTGGGAAAGTCCTAGTGAAGATGAGTTAAAAATTGTTTAGCCATAAACCACAATCCAACTAGAAGTTGTCCTAATATATTTTAGTATGTTGATGGTCCATGAAGATAAGCAGCAGGTAAAGGCACCTGCTATTAAGCCTGGTGGCCTGAGTCCCCTCCCCAAATGCTAGGAGCTAACAAACTCCCATAAGTTTACAAACTGTCCTCTTCACTCCACACATAGACCGTGGGACACACATATGCATGCATGCGAATTCGGGAGCTCATGTACACATACACACATACAAATAAGTAATAAAAATGTGATAAAAACTTTCAACAAAATATTTTGATTAGATTCAGTCAAATACATGAGCTCAGTGGCTGGCTCTTTGATCACCTCCCCCTGGAGGGTGTAGCCTTACTAGGCCACAGAGGAAGACAATGCAGCCAGTCCTGATGAGACCTGATAGGCTAGGGTCAGATGGAAAGGGAGGAGGACCTCTCCTATCAAGGGACTAGGGAAGGGGCATGGGAGGAGAAGAGGTAGGGAGGGCAGGATTGGGAGGGGATGAGAAAGGGGGCTACAGTTTGGATACAATTGTAATAAATAAAAAAATTACAAAAAAAGATTCAGTCAAATAATTTCAGTTTCTAAGATAATAGACAAGGGAAGCTGAGCTGGCTAACTCTATGATCTCTTTCTAGCATACAAGGGCTTGGATCTTCGGAGTAGACTCTGTGGATTGCAGAGTTACAATCTCTAGATGCCGTGGAGTTTTCATGATAGATTCCTGAGTTTTCCATCCCCTCCCATTGAAAGACTATAGTTCACTTAATTTCATCCTTCATTCTCAGTTATTAGGTGCTAGAGTGAGTCCAATGGTCAGACTGTCATGTTAAGATATTTACTAATTTATGTTTGTTGTATGAAAATAGGCACCAGCACCGTACTATTGGCTGAAAGGGAGAGGGATACATCCCCCAATGGCTTTAAGAATTGGGACTTCATGTCTGTTCATACATGGGGAGAGAATCCTGTAGGCACTTGGACACTGAAAATTACAGACATGGTAAGCATGAATAAGAAGACAAAGTAACCAAGTTCATTTTCAATTACCTGGAAATACTTTTAAATGTTGATGGCATCTTTAGTTATGTCCTAATGAACTTGATCTGATCACTTCTTAACCAAAGTGAAGTAATAGTATTGCCCAGCATACTTGGATATACAAGCAATAATTTTAAGAGACTACTAAACTCAGCTATGCTGTAAGGAAGGAGAAAAGGTATAATAATAAAGTTCTTAAGTCTAAGGCAGCCGGCCGTGTGACCTGTTATCCCTGCAATCATCCATATTCACAAAGACAGCCAGATTTGAGGCCAGCTTTGCTATGATACTTTGCTGGAGTCACAGGAAAGCACCCTGGTGACTGTTCTGCTGTTCTCATTGAGTAGTAGCTTCCTGTTTCCGGTTAAGTAAGACATCTTTTTAAATATTTTTTCTACTTTTAGTCACACACTCACACACACACATACATACAGACACACACACACACTATGTTTAAAAATTTTTATTTTTAGAGCTCAAATGATACTCAAAAATGTTAAACTTTTAAAGCATCCAGACTTTGTTTGGAGGATAGGGATGCTCATCTGGTAAAACCTGTATAAACACTCTAAGACCAGAAAGATTTGGAAGTCTGAAATACTTCTGGTTCCCAGCATTTCAGACAAAGGGTCTATTTTGATACTCTTTGACATGCTCTAAAGGACAGTGCCACAAGGATGAAGTGGCAGGACTTCATCTGACATGAAGCCAAGTAGCTAAATTTTTTGTCCATGCACCATCCCGATGTTTTCTCTGAGGATGAGGATGTAAATGGATGGTATTCCATCTGAGTTCTGAGAGAGAAGTGTAAGAGCCAACAGGGCAGATCTCATTGTCTAGATTATTTTTGTTACTGATGTCATTTTTGAGACAGGGTTTCTCTGTGTAGTATTGGCTGTCCTGAAACTCACTCTGTAGAGCAGGCTGGCCTCAAACTCAAGAGATCCTCATGCTTGTGCCTCCCGAGTGCAGCACCACTGCCTGGCTGCCTAGGCAAATTTTTAGAATAAATCACTCTAACCTCTTAAAGTTGCCAATTAATACAAATTATATAGTTTCTACCTTCTTCTCTGAGAATAGCTTTCCTCTACACATCACTAAAGTAAGATGGCTCAGTGGGTAAGAACCCTTTCCTCCAAGCTGAGCCTGACTAATTGAGTTTGCTCCCTGGACACCACATGGCAAAGGAGAGAATCAACTCCGACAAGTTCTGTCTGACCCCGGCTCCTGTGCGTTGTCACACGAGCGTGTTCACACGCACGCACGATTGATCGATTGATTATAGTATAGAAAATGAAGACTGAAACAACCCTGCTGTAACAGGAACAAAGCACTGCTTCTACTTATTAGTGCCATTCTTAAACTTGAACTCAATTCTTTTTTTTTCTTTTTCTTTTTTTTTGTTTTTGGTTTTTGGTTTTACAAGACAGGGTTCCCCTGTGTAGCCTTGGATGTGCTGGACTTGCTTTGTAGGCCAGGCTGACTGCGAATTCACAGGGGTCCTCCTGCCTCTGCTGCCCCAAGTTCTTGGATTACAAATGTGTGCCACAGTGCCCAGATTGGCCTCAGTTCTTAAAACAAGCAAACAAACAAACAAACACTATTGTATGTTTATGAGTGTTCTTCCTACCTGCCTATATATATGTGTGTATGTATATCATGTTTGTGCCTGGTACCCAAGAAGATCATAAGAGAACATTAGATCCCCTGGAACTGGAATTACCAAGGGTTTTAACTGCCATGTGGGTGCTAGGAATTGAACCTGAATCCTCCGGAAGAGCAGCCATTGCTTTTAAACACTGAGCCACCTCTCTAGCCCCTCCTCAATTCTTTAGCTCAATTTCAACTGCAAGAAAGTAAGCAACTGTACTTAACAAACAGTTTCACTTTATATCAAATCTATACAGTCTGACTCCACAGTTTTAAATCTTTGATTTATAGTTTCAGAGACAATAAGCTTTTCAAAAACAGAATCACTGTGACAAAATAGATATACACAGATAACTCTGCTTTTTAAACTAGATACTTGATATTCTGAGCTTACATAATATTAATTTTTGTAAAAAAAAAAGTGGATCCAATGGTTCCTCTTAAAACAGATCTTTGAAGATGGAATGCAAAATGTCTTAAAATTATGTTTTAACTATGAGATTATTTTGGTAATTTTAATGAGTTTCTTTTATGTTGAAACCCCAACTAAAATACATATATGCTTGTTTTAACCAGTCTGGAAGAATGCAAAATGAAGGAAGGATTGTGAACTGGAAGCTGATTTTGCACGGGACCTCTTCTCAGCCAGAGCACATGAGGCAGCCGCGTGTATACACGTCCTACAATACTGTCCAGAATGACAGGAGAGGGGTGGAGAAGATGGTGAATGTCGTGGAGGTGTGTAGCTCCGTTATTAGCATATTCTCTTTTCAAGAGCAGTAGGCAAGGAATGAGTAAAGATGCATCTGATTTTTAGGAAGGGAAACTTCCTGTGTACCTAGAGAGAAAGGGCTTAGGACAGAAAACCTGTTAGTTTCTAACTGGGTGAGGCTTGGTTTTTATTTTGTTCTTAACTCTTGAGTTTATTAATTAAAGTTGATAAATTCTCTAACATGAATGTTATCCATGTATGACAGCATATTGCAAACTAAGCTGTCTTTTACATAGTCACGTAAACCTACTCTAATATATTTATGGTATTACGTTGCAGTGTAGTTACACATTAAAAATGTTCAGTTTTATCTCATTTTAATTGTATTCTTTTTTACCTAGACAGAGAGGACATTTAAAGAAAGGAGACTATAGTTAGGCAGTCAAATCATGTCAGCCTCTTTTTACTCATTTCTGTTTGGTAATTGGCACTTAGATGCAATGCCTTGTCAACATTAAGAGGAGCTATCAAATCACAATGACATGGAAAATTTAGAGGGTAGCCAACATAGACAAATAGTGATCATGGCTCCAGGATATACTGGCTTTGCCCTTCTCGGGAGCCATGAAGAAACTGTAGCTATCTCCTGACACACCAGCATCTAGCATAGCGTCTCTGCTGTAGGAAAGGATTTTAGGATCTCTGAAATGATCTGTCCTAAATGGGATATCTCTGTGCTGGATGCTGTAGGAGGTTTCAAAATATGACATTTACATAAAGAAGTTATAAAATAGCTTTGAGAAAGCCTCACCTAAGATTCTAGCCCTGCTTGCATTCTACTAGGAAGAGTCCAGGATTAGTCTCTCCACATTGCCTGAGAAGAGTTCACATTGTGAGTGTTTCTCTAAGGTTCTTTTCAAAGAATCAACAAGATTTTTCATGTTAAAGTATTGAAATATGTTCATCCCGTCATACGGTGGGTCCTAAACCCCTGTAGCCAACCAAGTATGGATCAAGAAACAACTGTCTCTATACTGAACACGCACAGACTTATTTTTATGTATTTGGTCTATCTTTCCCATACCTAATGTATAAATATATTATTATCTTAAACAACGCAGTATAGCAAGTATTTACACAGTGTTAAGTTTTACAGATAGTCTGGAGATGACACTGTGGATGTATGTAGGTCACTCCCATTCCAAGAAAAGCACTTGAGCATCTATAGAATTTGGCATCATGGAAAGTCCTAGACAACAACTGTATTTCCATAACGATTGAGAAAGAGCTACTTCTCGGATCTTCCGATTCCTGCCCCATGACCTCTCTACCCTAGGAGCTTCTCAGAATTCAATAGCTTCTAACAGGAGCAAGGGTCCTCTGGTCAGCTGCTTTGTACACAGCAACTAAATGATGCCTTACAAGTGAGTTGTTAAACACTTGATATTATTTCTCCAAATGGTTTTCCTTATCAAAGGCTTGAAAGTGAAGGAAAACAGCACACTGGATACATACTTGCACAGTCTCAATCCTAAAAACCACCAGAAATGGACATGTTCTGATTTGTACTTTGTAGCCATAATTCTGAGAGACTGAAAAAGCTGCCAAGGGTGAATCAGGGAGTGTGAAAATAAGGGTTGAAATACAAACCCATATAACTCCAAGCCTTGTATTTGCTTTACTCTCCAAATTTCTTCTCAAGGGACCTATGGTGGGATTGTGTTAAGACTGCAGATAGCATTCCTAACTGTGAATAATGAACTTCTTGCCTTTGTTGGTGGCATTTTGTATTTCAGGAGCAGCCCACACCAAAGAGCCTAAATGACAACCCCCTGGTGCCCAAAAGCTCCAGCAGCAGCAGCAGTGTGGAGGGCAGAAGGGATGAACAGGTACAAAGAGCTCCTTCAGAGGCCATGCTACGGCTCCTACAAAGCGCTTTTAGCAAGAACCCACCTTCAAAGCAATCACCAAAGAAGTCTCCAAGTGCAAAGCTTAGCATCCCTTATGAGAGTTTCTATGAAGCACTGGAAAAGCTCAACAAACCCTCCCAGCTTGAAGACTCTGAGGACAGTCTGTACAGCGACTATGTTGATGTTTTCTATAATACAAAACCTTATAAACATAGAGATGACAGGCTGCTGCAAGCTCTTGTGGACATTTTGAATGATGAAAATTAAAAGAAGCGTATGGCCCGAGTTGGAAATCTTCATGCCCTCTCTTCCCTCACACGTTCCTTGGCCTGGAGTTGTTTTGTCACTGGTTCCTATGCTTATAATGTTCTTCATGGTAGTTTTACTTTTTCTCCTCAAACTTTCCCTTTGTGTGAGTTCTGAAAGGCAAGACAGCTTAATGAATTGGCCCTGGTATCTCAGAATGTCTTCTCCGTCTGTACAAGGGAAGCAACTTCTTTCCAAAGTCACTGTTGACATACAGCTCTTTGTCTTAAGAGACATTTCCCCACTTCATATCTCACAAGACTAGGAAAAGAGCAGAAGATCCATTTTAATTTTGAAAAGTAATCTATAAACGTGGGTTTGGGGGCTGCAGTTTATCTTCTTTTCTATGTTTTCAATGGGGCACTTTGAATTTTGATCACAAGGAAGCATTTAAAAAGTAACTAAAGTATAAAATATGTAGGCCCATACCCTAATCCTTTCCATGTGTGTTGCTCTCACTGAGGCTGATAATCTGACCATTTGGGAGTAACTGGAATAAAATGCATTATTTAGATACAGAAACATCTTAAAATTTGCATTAGCTGGAATGGGCATAGAATATGCCTGTTCTTGATTGGTATACCATGCAGATGTCTCTGTGGATCTAAAGCTGGCCGTTACGTGTTATATATATGACCTGGCCTTCTTCCCCTTATGCCTTTTTGTTTTCTCTATGAGCTACACACTGAAAATCAAAGAACGAATTCCTATCATTTTCTCAGAACAAAATTATGCCTGAAGTTTGGCAAATTCCTAGTCATACTTTTTTTAATAACGAGCAGCCACTCAAAATATATTGAACCAGTGTAATAATGGGGATAATGTTCCCAAAGGGGAGAAGCCATAACACTTTTCACAAGCTGTGTTCCTAGGACAGGTTCTTCTGGCTTTCTATAAATGAGTGTTCATTTCCCGACACCACAGGCTCTTCTCTGTCTCAAAGGGACAGTATTGAAATTCTTACCAAACTGCTTCCATGTTTCAAATCAGAAAACAGGTGGATAGCCCTTTGATCTTATTTCTCCTTCCTGCAAGTTATGCAGAAGGTTTGAAAAGTGTGAAGGACTGTTAAAAGGGTGAAATGTCACATAAAATCTCATTCTCAGACCCATCTTCCACCACACTAGCTAGAAGTGACAACTTCCGAGTAAGAGTCAAAGTCCACCTTCCCTGGCTGGATTTTGTTTTTGTTTTTGTTTTATAATAGGCATCTTATTGTTACTACTCAGCATCCAGTAAGCATTTTTCATTAACATCTGGTAGTTGTAGAAGGTAAGGTTTCACTTCGACATTCTCATGCATATATTTCATGTGCTTGTACAATGTCCATCCTGCAGTAGCCTCTCTTCTGTCTCTCCTTACGTGTCCTCTTGCTCTTCACAAGTAGTCCTGCTCCCAAGTCCACGTCTTTTCATTTAATCCAGATTTCACATATAAGAGAAAATGTGATGTCTTTCAATGCATGTAATTTTTCCCACTCCCGTACTAGAAGAATCCGCATAAAGTATAAGTGTATTAGGAAAAAAGATTTCTCGCAATTATTTCCAGGCAGGCTCTGCTATTAATAATTGAGTTTGCTATGACCTAATCAGTTTTTTTTGTATTTATAAGTAAAAGGAGTATTTCGGACCCTAAAAATAAGTCTTGTTTAATATGAGCACTTAATCTTATCTTACCTGGATCTATTCATTAACTAGAGAGCCTTGCTTCCTTCCTTCCCTTAATATGCCAATATAGACTCTAGTTAACTGTATGCCTGCATTCTCCAACTGAGTTTCTGTTTGCAAATTTGCTACAAAGTCTGAGCATTCGACAGACACTCCTAGCATTGAACTAGTTCAGAAACACGGCTCCTTTGCTTTTTCTTTGATTGTGATTAGTAGGACAATTTTCACCTCCTGTTTCATCATTTGGATTTGTACATAACAAGGCTCTCTCCAGAGCCTTGCCCATGATGCTTTGAAGATGTGTAGTAGCCTCTCTCCTTGAAGGTTTTTCATTGTGTTTGCTATAAGGTTTAAATGAAAGTTTCACTAGTGTAGCACATTACAACTGAAAAGAACTTAAGAGCTGTTACATTACATTTCAACTAATTAAAAAAGACCTAGAGAATGATATCAGTAATTGATAATAAGTGACTACAAAAATGAAAGAGCTGAGGTCAACCCCACCCTTTCCTAGTCCTTATGCTAAATGGCAGAGATTTTCTTCAGCCCTTTCTAATAGTATATTCCTCTATAGGAACCCCAACCAACTCATGGGCTATAGCCAAAGGTTCACTTGAATAAGCTTTAATGTTTAGACAATACCATGCTTGAATGTTTCCAACCTGAAGTATATATTGTCTAGACATAAAAATATTTTTGTCAGCCTTTCTTAGTGCCTATGTGGATTTTTGTGAAAATGTTAAAAAGGATGATTATATAATATTTCCCTTGGAATTTTAAGCTATATTTTCTTTACAGGTTATTTATAATGTACCAATGCTTTTATCAAACAGAATTTTAAAAAGCATAATAAATTGTATTAAAGAGAAAAAAGCTTTCATGAGAATAAGAATGTTTCGTCCAATAAATTAGTTTTAAAGGCATGTCCCTCTGTGAATGGAAACATATATATACATATATAAACATAATGCTGTGATACTAAAAGTTATGTTTATCTAATATCTTAATACAATGTACAACGGAGACAACAGTCTAACATGGTCTTAGAATTCTTAACGGAGCTCCTACGTCACACACTTGATGTATTACCAGAGCATGTAAATAAATCAGAAGAATAAATGGTTCCTCACTAAGTCAAAAAGGAATAGCTCATGTTTCCAACCAAAACAGGTTCTCTCTCTCTCTTTCTCCCAATGTGTTTTTCAAATGGACTTTAGAAAAACAGAGGTTTATATTAAAATGTTGATTAACTCATTTTTCAGGAAGCCTAGGCTTTCTAGAGGCAAGTACCTACATAAACAGGCACATTTTGTCTTCCCACCCAACCCAGGCTTTCATGTTCCTGACAACACAAGGAAGCTGTGTGCCTGAGCCTCAACTGAGGTATTGAGGAGGAAAAAAGAAAGGTAAAACTGAAAAGGATTCATGGCCTCAGAGAAATCATTTGTGCCAGTTCAACTTACAGGCCAAAGTCAAGCAGCCAGGCTGTGGCTCCTTCTTCTACTATGTGCCTTTAAGAAGCCTCCAGTATCCATCCTGAGGTCACTCTTCCCTCCCTCATGGGCTACCTCCCTAGAATTTCTAAGGGCTTAGAAAAAGATCCTTGAGTCCCTCAGGATGGACTTTCCCTGGCAGCCAACTTTCTTCTCTTAAGAGGTCATTCATTTGACCTAAAATAAGTATTTCAGAGGGAATTTTCTAACTGTGATTTGTCCTCCTAGTCCAGACATACCCAGGTAGGGCGGGTTGTTTACTTATAAAGCTGTGAGTTTATGGGTACAGTGGTTCTGACATATCCTGTTTTCCTCTAGTCTCCTGTAATATATGATCTTACAATCTTTCTACTCTCTTTTCCATAATGGCTCTGAATCTTGGAAGGAGGAGTATGATATAAATGCTTCATTTATGGCTCCCCTACCTTGGGTTCTTGACCATATTTTTAGTACCAAATATGTATTTTCTCCTATAAAGTGGAGAAATGATAAAGTGTGGTTATGCCCATAACATTTGTGCCACTATTATATCCAAGAGGCTAGCCTATAATTTTAAGTGACAATTTAATTTCATAAAGCTACACAAATAATATATAAATACAATATTATCATTCAAAATTTAAACTACAGAAGTGGGTACAATAAAAATCGACAGGTCTTTAGACAGACCACTCCCCCCTCCACACACACTGCTCATTCAAAACACTTCCTAGCTATAGCTGGAAGTTTAAATAAAATTTCTCTACAAAAAGGATTACGATAAAGGTGCAGTATACAAAATTCTGTGTAAAAATGAATAAGGTATGTTAACATGGCCCTTACTCTTTATATTAGATGCCCATAAACTGTTGAATGGATACTAAAAATATTATGCATACAGACAATGGGATATTAATCAGTTTCAATGAAAACTGAAATCACAAAATTTTCAGGTTGGCAGGATGGAACTGGGAAAAAAAATGCTGAGTGAAGTGACCCAAGCCCCTAAAGTCAAATGCCCCACGGTTTTTCTCATATGAAAGTTCTAGCTTCAAATCTTTGGTTTTATGTGTTTAATATAGAGTAAATGTGAAAGGTAGGAAACTAAAAATAGGTACTGGCAGAGTGATGCCTTTGAAGTGACAGGATATAATGGAATATGGGGAGAAATGAAACTAGAGACCAGAATTATGGGGTTAAAAGATTCCAGCAGACACTAGAGTAGTAAAAGACACTTGAACTGAGGGTCCATAAGCTTGGGGGCTGACATGGCTCAGCATTTAAGAGTTTTTGCTGTTGTATAAGAGGACCAGAATTTGACCCAACACCTACATCTGGTAGCTTAGAAGTCTCCAAGAAATCTGAATCTTCTTATGGACTCACAGGGTACCTGCACACACATTCAAACAACATAAACAAATCTTTAGAAAAATGAAGTGTACAGGAGGAAGTTACTTGGGGACTATGCTCTTACAAACCAGGTAAAAAATATAATAAGAATGTATAGTAGAGCAAGTCTGATAAAAAGCATGCATCAATGTAGATGCTGAGACTTATGGGCAACCTTTGGGCAGAGTGCAGGGAACCTTAGGAAAGAAGTGGGAAACAGTAAGATCTGGAGAGGACAGGAACTCCACAAGGAGAGCAACAGAACCAAAAAATTTGAGCACGGGGTTTTTACTGAGACTGATACTCCAACCAAGGACTATGCATGGAGATAACCTAAGACCCCTGCACAGATGTAGCCCATGGCATTTCAGTATCCAAGTGGGTTCCATTGTAATAGGAACAGGGACTGTCTCTGATATGAACTGATGGGCCTACTCTTTAATTACCTCCCCTGAGGGGGAAGCAGCATTATCAGGCCACAGAAGAAGACAATGCAGCCACTCCTGATGAGACCTAATTGACTAGGATCAGAAGGAAGGAAAAGAAGTCCTCCCCTATCAGTGGACTTGGGGAGGGGCATGCATGCAGAGGGTGGATGAAGGGAGGGATTGGGACGGGAGGAGGGAGAGAACCACAGGGGGATACAAAGTGAATAAAGTGTAATTAATAACGAAAAAAATAAAATGCTCACAGGCTTAAAAAAAAAGCATGGGGGAGTAATGGGAGCTAAAGGTTTAAGCTACGATGGGGACAGAAGATGGTGAAGAGGGATAAAGAGTAAGTTAACCAAAGGCTTATGAAACCTCACCAGTTTGTAAGCTAATTAAAAGTATATAGTTTGAATAAAAGAACTACACATCAGTGAACTGTGCTACTCACACAAGACATAAGTTATTAACAAAAATTTTAGGTGCAAGGCATAGGTTACCTCCTTTGGAGTTGTGTCTCAGAGAGGCCCCAGAGGCACCCAAAACAGTATAAGCTATTGCAGTTGCTTTTAGTTTCCTACCGTAACTAGATGGCAAGACCCTATTTCTGAAGACACCACATATTTTGGTTGCAGATAGCAGAGAAATTAATGCTGAACTAACTAGAAAACTCTTCTTGGCTAGTTTTCACAGTTCTAGAGGATACTATGCAGGCTACTAAGGAACAGAAGACATTGATGGTCTTATCAAGTGCTTGACTCAACATGCTACAATATTGACCTGCCAGCCAAGATGTATAGGATAGCCAACTATTCTCTTGATTGGATTTAAAGCATACTTCACTGGGTAATTAATTTTTATACTACAATTATGGTCAAAACCCATAGCTTAAGGAAGTCATTAACCCTAAAGGAGTGATTATTGATTTTTATGGGGGTTTTTGTCTTCTTTTTTTTTTCTTTTTTTTATTATTATTATTTTTTTAACTTTTATTAATTACACTTTATTCATTTTGTATCCCCCATAAGCCCCTCCCTCCTCCCCTCCCGGTCCCACCCTCCCACCCTTTCTGCATCCATGGCCCTCCCCAAGTCCACTGATAGGGGAGGTCCTCCTCTCCTTCTTTCTGATCTTGGTCTATCAGTTCTCATCAGAAGTGGCTGCATTGTCAGGGTTCTAGGTTTTCTCCATGAATAGTCCTTGGTTGGAGTATGAGTCTCTGGGAAGTTCCCTGTGTTCAAATTTTCTTGTTCTGTTGCTCTCCTTGTGGAGTTCCTGTCCTCTCCAGCTCTTACTATTTCCCACTTCTTACATAAAATTCCATTCACTCTGCCCGTCAGTTGGCCATCAGGCTCAGCATCTGCTTTGACAGTCTGCATGGCAGAGGCTTTCAGAGGCCCTCTGTGGCAGGTTCTGAGGTTGTTTCCTGTTTTGTTCTGGTTTTCAGAGGCCCTCTGTAGCAGGTTCCGAGGTTGTTTTAATGATTGTATTGTCAAACTGCCTACTAAAGTTTATGTTTACATGCGTAGATTTGTGGTGCTACTAATCTCAGTTACAGAAGTGGTTAATCGCAGTGAATAGTGGTTAATGTAGAGATATGCTACTGTTCAAAGTACTAAAAAGAATTGACTGTGAGTTCTCAGCCACAGTCAACTCCTTCTTCTGAAGGCTCAGAAAACATCATGGAAGAGGAAATGGCAAGAAGGAACCAGAAGATAGAGAAGAATGCTCAGAAGTGTTTTTCTCTGGACATGCCACATCTGTTTAACACATGCACTCATAACAGATGAGGTCACTGAGAGAAAAGTAGTACACCATGAAGCCAAGTAAAAACTTAAAAGTCCTAACCCTAGCTTCAGATCTATGGTAATTACAGCTGTTTGTGAAGGACAGTTACTTTTCTTTAGGATTAGAAACACTGGCAAGCTTCCCATATCCCTGTTGATGATCTCACATCCATTAACTGGACTTAGAGGGTTAAATAAACCAATCAATAAAAGTTTAATATGCTTTCTTTTTGTTTATTTTTTACTAGCGTACAAACATATAGGTTTCATTGTGGAATTTTCATATGTTTTCTTTTGGTTAACTCTCTAATGAATTGGTAATTCTATTCCAACAAAGGATAAAATGTCAGAATCAATGGAAAAACATAAATACTGTAAAATATTTCTGGCTAGTATTATATTGTTTTGGAAACTGTCATTGCACTGTTACCCCAAGGCTATCCTGGAAACTGTTTGATCATAAGCAGTGTAAATTGTACTCCACTAGGAGTAGAAGTAGAAAGGCATAGCTAAGTTTCCAAGACCAGGGCAAGCCAGGAGAAATAAGATAATGAAGGAAGGAAAAAGTCTGCTCAATTTGGTATTATGCTTAATTACTTTCGTGGAAGAGTCATCATGCTATTTCAAACACAAAAAATAATTATAAATCATTACTAACCATGGAGAGCAATAGGTTCTTTACTAAGTTCACAGTAGACTGCATTGTTGAACTGAATTCTCACTAAAACTGCCAAACAAGTATGAAACAAATAGCATCATTGCTAGTTTGTACATTACAAAATTCAGGTCTGGGGAGGTGTTCTGGTTGCTTCACGGATGGTGAGTTGTGGTTTTAATGTGGCTGTAGTTCCACTCTCACTTCCCCAGGATATGCCACACAGTACCAAGACACGGGGTCATGTGTATCTTAGAAGATATTTATATGAAGACTCAAGTTAGAATCAGGTAATTTAAACTAGTAATTCTTTTCTACCATTTCAAATCATAAGAAATTAACTTTAACTATCAAATCTGTGCCATGTTCTAAACATGCAAATTCACATTTTTGCAATGACTGCATATTAT